TCACACATTTGTCATACGAACTATTTTATCTAATTTTTATCTAACATAAATGTGTGTGACGGTAATGCATATCCAAACGTAGAGTTTTCCCAGTTTCAAAGCTCCTCTTCCTCAAATGATGGTTAATTTACCCAGTGCTGTAAGCACAAAAAAGCAAACTGTATTTTAAGGAATTGTTTACAATTTTGTAGTCATATATTTACCAGGATAATCACTATAATTTATGTAGATTACTGCAGTATTATGTTGCAAGGCTTAAAATATTTAGAGGCTGCTCTGTGAAATCTCATTCACTGTAAGAGGCCATAGTCATATTGTTTTTATTAAATCTGACAGTGTGTAATGAGTGTTCAGTCCATCAGTCTGTCTTTGAAGGCAACGTCTGATTTATATTAAAGAACACTAAGTTTTGAACTGATTTTTGCCAGGTTTGTACTTGACCGTTCTGATTTTGTGGTTATGGTTTTAAGAAATGTGTTACATTTTATTAAAATTAGTCTAATCCGTCGAGGAAAAACTGTGAAATGCATGAAATTTGCACTAGCTGAAAGCAGAAAAGAAAAATGAGCTCTACTGTACAGTTGTTTGCCTTTATAGTTCTTACAAAGACATGCAAAAGCATCAGCAGATCTCTGAACTAAAGCGAACAATGATAGTCTTCCGGTCTCAGAAGTGTTACTTCCTGTGCATCTTTCTCTTTCTTTTTTTTTTAAGTAAGTGTACAAGGTCACAAGTGTTTGTTTGAAATGTACAAGAAACTGCTCCATAGGAAACTGAACCACTTCAAAGACAAGCTTTAAAGTCAGATGCACTTATACACCAAAAGTTCAGGTCTTGTGCACAATTGTCATCATTTACTGAGGGTGTTATGTCATTCCAAATTATTATGACTTTCTTCTGTAAAACAAAACTGTTTGTCCATACAATGAGAGTCAATGGGGTCCAACGTTGTTTTTTGTCCATTGTATGGGCAAAAACAGTTAAAACATTCTTCTTTAAAACACTTTCATTTGTGTTCCATAAAAGAAAGTCATACCGGTTTGGAGGGACAATAAATGATGATTTTTATTTTTAAGTGAACTATCCATTTAACTAAACTGAATAACTAAAGGTGACTGGAAACAAAAGACATGATTTTCCTAAGTAGTCACTTGTAGATCAAAGTCGGAGATGGTTTTGAACCTAAGGAAGCTAAAAGTATGCATAGATGGGATGGAAACTTCAGTCACTGGTATATCTGATGGAGGAACAGTGCACCAGTGAGGGATGTGCCAGGCACAAAACAGATGACGGGAGATGTTTTTCCCAGCTAGCAAGAATGTTTAAAATATCCTGGAACCCGGAATACTTCCTTGCGATCATGTCATAATAGCAAAAAACGAGCCTTATCACAACAATTTATGAGGAACCTTCCAGATCGCATGGTAGCCATGTATCATATTCAATGTGAATGTTTTCACAGTAGCTCGTTGAGTAGTTGTTTAAATTGGAGGCTGACCAAAGCGCTAATTATGTCTATTATGATCATTTAAACCGAACTGCCCATTCTGTGCCAGTTCTCAGACAAGTAAGTCGTTTGCCAAATCGTATTGATGCCGCTATGACATTTTCCATGACCAACCTGCTCTTGAACTCCTCATTGGGTACCATAAACTCCAAATTTGCCAGGTCTGGAGATGATTTCTCTAAGGAAACATACTGTAGTAGCACAAATAAAGCATATGAACCATGTCTACTGTCTATAACCATCTTCTATTATAATTATGAGTCAGAGCATTTCCTTTGAAAGGACTGGGGCTTGTCTGCATGTAATGGAATGCATTCGGCAATCTGAAGTCTCCAAGTATGGAAGAAGACAGTTCAAAGCAAGGGAGAGCCCTTGCCAGTAAGTGCTCTGGATTTATAACTGTGGAGATCTTCTTCATGCAGAGTGGCAGATGGCTAACTTAAGCCCGTCTCGCTCTACACTTGACCATTCATCTCCTAATGACCCTATTTTTGGTTCACTTTATTCAATTAGACAAAAAGGGCTGAAATGAAACTACAGTCAGCCATATTAGATGCTCAGGATAAAAACGAATCACTTGATGAAGTGAAACATGTTTAATGAGTCTGCGCTGAAGATGCCTTAAAGGAATAGTTGGCCATAAAAGGAAAATTCGGTTGTAATTTATTCACCTTCATGTTGTTTCAGTGTGGAACACATTAGAAGATATTTTGAGAAATGTTTTTGTCCATACAATGAAAGTAAATGGGGTCCAAAACAGTGGCTTTCATTATATGTACAAAACACATGGAGATATTTTTCAAAATATATTTGTTTGTGTTCTACACTGGAAAAAACAATGAGCAGTGAGTAAATGATGAGATTTTCATTTTGGGGTGAAAGGCAGCAGGGTGCACAAACCGTTCTGCTGTTATGAATCTGTTAAGCATTCAATTAATTCATTATTTATCCCAGACAGTGCAGGCGTTTTGTACATAAAGCACACACAGAAGAAATGCATTCCTATCAAAGCCTGGAGATAAACCGTACACACTGTTTATCCATGGAAAAAAATCTCAACATTCACAGACTGAACTTTAACGTATGCAATCTATTAGTCTACAATATCGTAAAATATTAGCAATATTATTCAATATAAAAAATGACTATAATAGTAAAATATAAACAGTACAATTAAATATAAAAAAAATTGTAGAAAAAATGTATGGGATATTTAAGGCATTTGCTAGTCAGTGCCATTTATCAACATAATAACATAAAATAATTTTAAAAATACAAACAAAAACATGTTTTATGTAATTTTATGTATTTATCCAAGAAAACACTACTGCAAGCAATCTTATAATAATTAGAATCATAATCTCCAATGACTCAGCAATTAACAGTCGGCACATCTGAGGAAATAACTAGGAAATGACTCAGTAATCTACAAATACAACAGAGCTTTTTATAACATGTTACACAGGCCTTAGACATGCAAGTGAATATGTATGTGTCTGATGTCCCACGCATCCATATGCAGATTACACGCACGCTGACTGAAAACAGATGAATTTCCTTTAGTGTCTCAAACCAAAAACACCTGCACCCTCACCTCCATTAGGAATTTACATGGCTTAAATGTTGCCACTACAATAACCACATCTGGGTCTCTGGAGCAGTGGAGGAGACAGACATGCACAAACATGACTGTTGTCCACTATAGGTGCTGATCTGTAATCTCGGAGCATCTTAAGTAAGTGAATGACAGGATCTAAAATAAAACCACCAAAGAGTATCAGCGTACTCCTTTGGTAATGCAGTATTATGCTTATCACAGCACCATATATGCATGAAATTGTTAATAAAGCAGTATTTTGAAGTGTGCTAGCCAGTAGGGACTGGACCAGAGTTAGAAAAACTCTGTAAAAGGTGTAAAATGTGCTTGATCTGTGCATATTTGTCTCCTGATTCAGACGAGACAACTTTTTTCTGTGGAGAAAGCAATACAAATAGATGACTCATATTTTACCCAGAAGCAAAGGTTAGAAGTTAAAAACGTCTTAATGATGGATTTGTTTCTTACAAACACACAGCTTTTCACTTTACAAGACATTAATTGATGGACTGGAGTGGAGTGGATTACTTTGTGTATTATTGTGATGCTTTTATCAGCTGTTTTGACTCTCATTCTGACGGCACCCATTCACTGCAGAGGATCCACTGGTGAGCAAGTGATGTAACGCTACATTTATTCAAATCTGTTCCAATGAAGAAACAAACTGATCTACATCTTGGATGGCCTGAGGGTGGTAAATTGTCAGCAAATTTTCATTATTTGGTAAACTGTTCCATTAAGTGCATGGATGAAGCGACTGTGTGATGATCCTGGACCTAATGTGAGTCAATGTGAACCTTTAACTGCAGCTGCATCCACAACTCAATTCCTTAACGCGGGTCACAAGCCTTTATCACATGCATTCCTAAGAAACTGCACCCAAGGAGATCTGAGCTGTCTTCATTTGGTTAAACTAATAGAGAGGGAACACTGATTGCTATTCTTTATATAAAAAAGGTGCTCTTCCTGCCATTTAATAGCCTAACATTAATTAAAGGTTTACATGAAAGGTGTTTTAAAAGTTGCCAATATGCAGCTTTGTGGACAACAGCTAAAATGTTGATTTATATTTTGAGATGCCATTAGGAAGTTTTTATTTTTGTTTAGATGGCTCTTATACATTTCAATAGTACTGATGGTTTTGTACTGTATACTGACACCTACTGGCTTGGATGTAAGAAGTTTGTGTAACACTGGCTGAAAGTTCTATATAAAGTTTAAAATATATATATTTTTGTTACTACAGTGATTAGCAACTTCTTCAATTGCACGGCACAAGTGTGTGATCTTAACATGTCAGCTGCCATGATGATGCAACCAGGTCCATGTAGAATAAAACTGTAATTTTTTTTTATTTCTTCAGTCTTTATCTCATGTGAGAGTACATGTTTTCAATTATTTTTCTCAGAAGTCATATTTATGTCTTCATGCTTACAAATTTTTTATTTAGCAAAACATGACAAAGGGCACCAGAATGCAGAATGTCAGTGTAATGGTGATAATAATATGAGAAAGGGATAAAAATGTCTGATAAACATAGCCAGTTGCTCTTAATGTAAGACTAAAAGTGCAAGTAAACATTTTATATGCACATATACACTGTGCAAGCATGTGGTGCGCAAAATCGTTTTACGCCGCGTAAACATGCGTTTATAAGTAATGTTCTCTACGTCTACGAGAAGATAAATAACAATAAATTGTGTTCAGAATAACAGACCGCAGCCTGTCAAAGTGGATATAACAAACCGGATCAATAATGCATGTATGGTCTTTGGAATAATGACATGCACCGAATAAACAACGCGCGCAGTTTCGCACTCAGGATTTTGACATCATCATCGTCATCGTTCATTTGACCGAAAACAGACTAAATAAGACACAATAAAAAAAACGTACCCAACAGCGCTGCTAGTGTGAAATGAACGACTCCAGAAAGCATCTTCCCGGTTCGCTGTCAGAGCCTGGATACGAGGCTCCTCTCCTTGGAAGCGCAGACGCTCAACTGAGCAGCAGCCTGACTCTCTGGAGGCAAACACTCAACTCAGTTACTCTCAGAGTTAGCTAGAGGATATTTAATTTGCAAAGTCAATGTCCCAGTGCAAGTCTACAGATCTCCGTTTGCCTGAACTACAACTTGACTGACTTTACAAAGCGTATTTGAAAGCGAGGAGTGACGGTGAGGGAGGGTTTAGCTGGGCATTTGAAGGAGGACTCTCACTCATTCACATTCACATTCACATTCAAGTAGCTGTACTAGCAGAGTTTTAGGCAGAGTTAACATTATATACAGTATGTATACATTTACAAACGTGTACACAAATAATTAAAATATTACTGATGATAACAATAATGATTTTTTTTTATTATTATTACTACTATTATTATTTTTTTTTTTTTATTAGCCTACAATTGTGTATATTTCACTGGTCTAAACTGGACATTAACTGAACTAAAATGGTGATTATAGCTTGTTTAAACTGTTCACTGGTTGGTCTAAACCAGGGGTAGGCAAGTTCGGTTCTAGAGAGCTGCAGTCCTGCAGAGTTCAGCTCCAACCCTGAAAAAAAAAAAACTCCCCTGCCTATAGCCTTAGTAATCCTGAAGATATTGATTAGCTTGTTCAGGTGTGTTTGATTAGGGTTGGAGCTGAACTCTGCAGGACTGCGGCTCTCTAGGACCGAACTTGCCTACCCCTGGTCTAAACTAGCCATTAGTTGGTCTAATCTGGTCATTAGCTGGTTTAAACTGCTCATTAACTGGTCACTAGCTGGTCCAGCCTGGTAATTAGCTGGTCTAAGGTGGACATTAGCTCATCTAAACTGGTCATTAACTGGTCTAAATTAGCCATTAGTTGGTCTAAGCTGGTCATTAAGCTGGTCTAAACTGCTCACTAACTGGTTTAACCTAGGTAGGTCTAAACAAGTCTCTAGCCAGTCTAAATTAGTCATTAGCTATCTCAGATGGTCATTTGCTGGTCCAATCTGATCATTAATTGGTCCAACCTGGTAATAAGCTGGTCTAAGGTGGTCACTAGCTAGTCTAAACTAGCCTAACCTTGTAATTAGCTGGTCTAAACTAGTCACTAAAGTCTAAACTAGTCACTAGCCAGTCTAAATTAGTCATTAGCTGTCTCAGATGGTAATTTGCTGGTCTAATTTGATCATTCCTGGTTTCAAATGGTCATTAGCTGGTCTGAGATGGCCATTGGCTAGTCTAAACTAGTAATTAGCTCGTCCAAGATGGTCATTAGCTGGTTGAGATTGGTCTAAGCTGGTTCAGCCTGGTAATTATCTGGTCTAAACTATTCCTTAGTTAGTCTAAGGTGGTCATTAGCTGGTCTAAACTAGTAATTAACTGTCTTAATTAACTTAAGATGGTCATTAGCTGGTTCAGGCTGGTCTAAGGTGGTTCAACCTGGTAATTTACTGGTCTAATCTGGTCATTAGCCAGTCTAAACTAATTATTATCTGGTCCAAGATGGTCATCAGTTGGTCTAGTCTTGTAATAAACTGGTCTAAATTGGTCCAACCTGGGGTGCGTTTCCCAAAAGCATCGTTAGCCAACTATGGTCGCAATTTCCGACGTTACCAACATAGTTCAATGAACATTCGCAAACAGTGTCGCAAACTTCCCAGCCAACATGTATATGTGGGCCCCACATGGTTTATGCTGGGTCTACATGGGTACCAAGTGGGCATGGTCCCAAAATGGGCATCTTATCTGGGGCCCACTTGGGTCAACTAAGTAGGTCCCACATTGGCAAAAACATTATCCGCAGCGCCCGCGGATATAACCGCCATCCGCGCTACACCTCTCAACCTGTGGTTAGAAGCATAGTTTGTTGTTAGTAAGACATGTGGGCTTGAATAAATATGCTCATTGGCAAAATAAGCAAGCTAACATTTTAATTTAGCATTTCAATCTCTGTATTTTTGCACGTCCTCAATAAGCGCAGTTTTTGAAGTGCACAAATGAATGCATGTGCGCATGTGCACAAATGCACAAAAGGAAACCCCAGAGTATGACGTAAGAGGGAAACCGTGATGAATCAAACATCAAATAAAGCAAAATGACAGGGAACAAAAAATAGCAAATTAGTCATCAGGTACCATGTTTAACACAGCAGCATCTTAGAGATCTCTAATCAGTTAAATAGCAGACGTTTTTACTCCACCACATGCGTGTGACATCATTAACAATAGCCCTATATTGTTGAACTAATGTGGTTCAAACGACGGAGATGCGACCGTTTTCGGGAAACAGTCGTGATTAGGTAGTTTGTTCCCACGACAATGCATCGTGCTATGGTGGTTAATCAGCGAGTTACGTCGTTGTACGGGAAACACACCCCTGGTCCAGCCTAGTAATTAGCTGGTCTAAGGTGGTCATTAGCTGGTCTAAACTAGTCTAACCTGGCAATTAGCTGGCTGGTCTAAACTAGTCATTAACTGGTTTAAACTAGTCGTTGGTTGGTCTAAGATGGTCATTAGCTGGTCTAAACTAGTAATTAACTGGTTCAAGATAGTCATTAGCTGGTTCAGGCTGGTCTAAGGTGGTCATTAGCCAGTCTAAACTTATTATTATCTGGTCCAAGATGGACATCAGTTCGTCTAGTCTTGTAATTAGCTGGTCCAAGCTGGTCCAACTTGGTCATTAGCTCTGGTGTTGTTGTGTCTATTTAAAGGGGTCATATGATGCGATTTCAATTTTTCCTTTCTCTTTGGAGTGTTACAAGCTCTTGGTGCATAAAGAAGATCTGTAAAGTTGCAAAGACTAAAGTCTCAAATCCAAAGAGATATTCTTTATAAAAGTTAAGAGTTAACCACGCCTACCTAAAACGGCTCGTTCTAACACGCCCCCACATGTCTACGTCACTGTGTGAGAAGATTTGCATAACGCTGCCCAAATGTTCACGCAAAGAATGTTTTGTAGTATTGTTGCCGCCGCCATGTCGTGAAGAGCTGTGTGTTTTTGCTGTGGATCGCCGGATCGGCTTTCACCGTGGACGAAGCGGAGTCCAGCCCGGGGTCATAAATGCTGTTTTTACATTGCAAATGCCAACAGTGCTAGATACCAAACACAAACCATCAAAGCAAAACTGAAATCTCACTAATCATCAGTTATTCTGACAATAATGTGGCCATAAGTCTGCTTCGTATACACTACCTGCTCTTCATCAAAGACTAAAGCATCACCGAGGGGATCTGGAGAATTATTCCTGCAATAATGACATTTACAGATGGCAAGCAGTCACATAAAAAATTAAAAGTCCAAAGTGTCAGTGAGCGAGAGGCCATCGAGTGTATCGTTCCCTTGAGTCATGTGTATTTCTGACAAAAAAAAGAAGAAAAAAACAATCAAAAATGTAATCTCAAGAATCTCTAGAGAAACAGACCATTTACATTATTCCAGCTTCCGCTGTTCTCTAGGTCCTCCCAGAATCACGTTTCAGGAAAACACTGATTAGTGTTTTTAGTCTGTGTCTTTCTTTAATCAATTTCCTCCACCACACCCGTCTGCAGGCCTGCCTTTGAACGAGCAGACACAGCCTGTTACAGAAGAGACCTTACACATCCGATGCATGTAAGATGCACCCCACCAACAGCTTATAGGTATGGATATCCTAAACAAATCCCCCTCCCCCTGACTGAAGGAAATGAGGCGGGTTTGCCTGACAAATATTTAGCCAATAGGTCAGATTATTAAATCACAACATCTGATCTGTAAAGAAAATAAATTCAATTGCTAATTTACTAAATTAATCATTCATATATGTATCTTTTGTTAATATAAATAGTTATTACATCTATTATAATTAATTAATTAATTCAAAACAGACCATGACTTCAATATACCTGTTCTATAATGATATAACTGTTCCGAAATAATAAAAAGCCTCATTAAAAGCCTTCTTAAATTTCCTGACAAAATGGCCCAAAATAATATCAATAATATTATATAATTATATCAATAATAACATATTAATTTAACAATATTGACCAATAATAATAATAATATTATTATTATTATTAAACAAGACATAGAGCAGTTTTGTTTTCAAATATAAGCAACATTTGAGAAAAAAAAAAGATAAGTTTAACAAACAAGCAGGAAGCCATATTGCTCTCATGTGACAAGAATACCATTAAACAGAAAAAAAGGAGAGATGACTCCTATGACTAAACTTTTAAAAGTGTAAAAACTTTTTTTTTTTAATGAAATGGCAAGTTTAGTTTTAAATCATCAAATGGTCTAACCCCAAGAAAAATATTCATGATTCACAAATTCTGAAAAATTACCTTAATTTTAAATAAATAAATAAATAAATAGCACATTTACTAACATATATTCAAGTTTTAAGGAAATTATTTTACTCTTACTTGATGGTTGAACATAAACTATATAGGCCTACTTTTTCATGGTTTTTCCTTTTCATCATCTTGGACATAATTATGTGTCATTTAATCACATAACAGTATAAAACATAACAACTTTGGATGCATTATTGACAAAGCTGTTCTTTGCAACAACATGCTGGAATTGATTTCCTTTATCTCACACACACACACACACACACAAACACACACACACACGCACACACACAAACTTTCAGAATTTGGTTTGTGGCTGGTCTGTTTATTTTGGACACAGCATGATCTTGATTAGTTACCCTGTTACCAAAGGAAAGCTTTTAAGATGTCATTTGCTTTTCAGCAAACAGCCGTACATGAGCCATTATTTCAGAAAATGCCTGTCAGATTGGTTTAAAATAATAAATTCGCCTTAATGTGGAGGAAAAGATGTTTGATGGAGCACAAGGAGTCCTCTTATACAACAACATAATCTGATTTCTCGTGTCCAGAACAGTCAGATGTCTGTTCTTCAAGCCTATGTTCTGTACTTCTCCATTTTCTAGATTTTTTTCTGGATAAATAGTTATAATTTCAGAATGCAGAACTCAAAAATAACCCATTGCAGATCACTAATAACTAGGGGTGTAACGGTACACGTATTCGTACCGAAAATTTTCGGTCTTTCAGTTCGTTACGCATGTGTAGCCTACCGAACAAATTCAGTCAATAAATGCCGTTTTGATGCTCTTTGATGTGGCGTGACATATCGCAGTATACTAATGTATCAGTTATAAC